TTACGTTTTATTAAATTGATCAGCTATATTCACATTCTTTCTTTATTTTTGTTATAAACATAACTTGATTTTCAGCTCATATCGAATAAAATGTACAAGTACTTTGATCATAAGTCCTCTGAATAGTCTATTCAAGGATTTTTGGATGAATACAAATTAGAACTACTAAAAAAAAGATTAACTATTATGTAAAGTATCTTGAGACGATTGCAAAAGATTGGAAAGGAAAAAGGAGTGAAACAGCACAAAAGCTATTCAATAGATATAGAAAGGCGAGTGTTAAGATTTTTTTTATTATAAAGTGGGAGAGAATTAGTAGTGTAGCGAGAACTTATTAGCTTCTCATTATTCAAAATTATTAGTTGAGCCACAAAGCTGGTGTTGTGACACAGGCAACCTACTAGCTTGTCTATTGTTCAAGACTATTAGTCGACTCAATGGGATGGAACGGAAAATCTGATAGAATCTAGTATACTACTTGAATATATTGTTAATTTATAAATCTTCAATTTTAGGATAGTAAGCTGGATTGCAAAAAAGCAAAAGAATGAGACGAAAAACGTATGCGTGAGCATAGATTAGCCTCTATTCACATTCACAATCTATTATTTAGGATTAGAAATATTAATAGTGAAACTGGAACTATTAAAGGTAGAACTTTCGCTGGATTGGTTATATCAAAGATTCCTCAGAAAAAGGTATATATTTGCATCTTTGTCTAAAATTTTAGAATCAAAAAAACTAATTTTTACATTTAATATTTTAGGATGAATATGATAAAAGTGATAAAATAGATGATTTTTTTAACAGTCCCTCTGAAAAAAAAATCGTCTAATCTGTTTTTGCAAGAAATGGATAACTCAACTAAGAAACAGCGAAAATTAAGCAATGGACAAGGCATTTCCAACAAAGCGAACAATAAAAAAGATAAGATACAGTTTTATATTGAAATAGATTATTTAGATATCATGATGTTCTGTCATTCATAGCAATTAAAAGACTGAATAATTGTTAATTAGAAAGATTCTTTTCTAGGTCGAGGTTAAAGCACAAGACTCTACTTCTATATCTGAAGAGGATGATAATTCGTTTACTTCTGAGGATTATGGTGACCCAGATTACATACAAAAGTAATTCTTTTGGTTGAAATTTCTTTGATTTTTTTTCTTAGACTCACAACCCACTTCTATTTATAATACAAGCGATATCAAAGGATAAAATCCTCAACCATTGTTAATATCATCATAGCTTGAAAATTTTCTGGAATCCTACAAAAAAATGAATGTAGCTCATAAATGGGTTCTCTCTTCTGAGAAGTGTGTTGAGAATACTTTTTTTAAACATTGTGAATGACTGCCAGTTGAATCACTTTTACATTCATAGGTTATTGATCTTGATGATCAGAAAGTGAAGTTGTTATTTACAACTGAAGAATGGAATGAAATCCAGCGTGTAGTCAAAAAATTGCAGAGATTGATTGTACCTTTGCAAATTCTATAATGCGATTTTCAGATGTAAGTTGAGGATAATTAGCTTTTTTTTCAATTTTCTAAAACCCGATATATTGCCAATTTTAGGTTAACATAATAAGCAATCTGAGACGAGTTTTAAAGATAATATTTTTCTAAATGAGAATGAACCTTATGATCAGTTAAAACATTATGATGCTGAATGGGCCAAAATCGTGATGAGAAAGTTATGAGTATTTACCTCTTTATCGGCGATATTGTTACAAAGTTTTAATGACATATATTCTATTTACTACAAGTCTTACGTATTATGAAGACCCTAATAAAATACTGCAAAAGCAATATCTCGAAGCCTGGTATGATATAAATGTGTAGTTGCTTATTATTGATCATAGTCTCAATGATATGATTGAAATAGAAACCGTAAGGTATAGTCTCCTTGATTGTTATAATTATTTAGTTACATTTTTTAACTTTATGGCTTATTTTTTCACAGAAAAAAATCATCAAGTATAGCAGTAGCTACGAGAAAAAACAGAAAGAGAGTATATATGCGTCACAAAAAGCCAGAATGTAGAAGAATGGGTTATCGAATAGATAGAATATTTTGGATGTACATTGGTGACGTTGAGTATGGAGTAATTGAAGTGGGCAAAAAGTTTGATGAAACAAAACTATTGAATGACAGGTTTAAACTGGTGAAGACTATGCACGATATCTTCATATATCTAAGTAAAGAAGCCCATTTCGAAGAAACAAAAGTAAGGTAACTTCAAGTCACTGGCATGCTTCACATAGATAAGTAAATAAATGAATTTACAGTTTTTAATATTTTGTCAAAATAACTGATTTAATTTGAGTAGGTCTTAAATTGCAAGTCTTACGAATGAGTAGTCCCAAAGGGTATATGATAATATTAAAATGAGAGAAATTCCTTGATGTGCCAGCTATAGTTGAAAGAATAAAGGGTCTTATTAGGGTATTGGCTAATATGTGGAAAATGAAAGTATGATTTATTTTCTGTATTTGTCAACTTCATCATAGAAATCACTATTGCTCATTATCTTCTATTTATAATAGAAAATGATCATGGAGTGCATGGAGACAGTGAATACAAGAACTTAAGATCAAATAGATTTTTTGCGAGAAATAATGGACACAGATACTCCACCAATTACAATTGTTGTTTCATGATCTATTGATACGAAATGACAAAATTATAATGAAATCGATCAAAAAAATTAGACGATATTTTTTGCCATCACAGGAAATTCTTTCTTCAACAAAAATATCACACTTGCCATACTTTTTTGAGATTCTTTTCTTGCTCTATTTAATTTTACTTGAAAAATGTTTAGGATCAATTCATTAGTAATTTCGGGATTCTTACTAATAATAAAACTTTACTGCACCAATGTGACATTACAAATTACATACTATAATAAAATTCAAATTTTTTCTTAGTAAAGTGATCTGCATTCCAAATTGGAACGGAAGGTGCATGTGTTTTTATTATTTTATTTAATGGCTTAGATCTGAAAAACATATAGTGATGATACGTCTAATTCTTTTGTTAATGATAAAATTCGTGAGTATTTTCTGGATCAAGATAAAACTTCAGAGGCTAATCTTAGAAAAAGGAAGGAAAAGGTAATAAAGATCTTTAAACTTTTTGATGAGTTGGAGGGATGGATAAGATAATTTGTATTAAGTCTTTTTCTGCATCGACTATTTTGAGGTTAGGCGTGAAGGATATTGACTATGTAATAGCTGAAGTTTTAAAAGTGGGTCAGTGAAATTTACTGTGTATTTTTTACTCAAGTGTGAACATATATTCATAGCTATCAAAATTTTTTCAGATTTCAAATAAGCCAAATTTACTTATATGTGATCGCCTGTTCACATTTACTGAAGTTTTTCCATTTTAATATTTTCTAGACATGTGTGGTTATCATTTCAC